AAATAAGCATTACTGTCCAGTATGTGTTACAAGCTTTTGATTATTCTATTATTTCCACCCTCCTAATGTGGAATAATAGCCATCCAACCATGAAAGCAGCCAGCATTTCAGTAAAATTGCAAACGTGGTGCTATCACTGGAATATCACTGCATACACAAAGAATACATCTAGTAGCTAAAGAGATGTGGCCTCTGCTCTTCACTTGTTTCTGAATAATCCTCTGCATTCTCAAGTTAATTTGATTCTCTTCCCTTCCTTCAGGAAAGCTGCCCATTTATTTATAGTTGCCAACTCACCCATTAAACAAAGCAATTATCTCTTTCTCTGGGCACTTCTGGACAAATCTTACATACAAAACTGTAAAACAGGCCATTCCTGTAACTCCCACCACCTTGCAGCAAGTAACTGGCAGACCTGCACTAAAACCAGACAACATATGTGCTCAGCACACACTTAGATCTTTAAGAACATCTGCATTTCCTCATAGGCAGGAAAACGAATGATCCATGGGGTATGGCTCCCCAGGTCAATAGTTTTAGTGGCTGTTATGAACTGAGGAGGTTTGGGGAGGATGGCAAGTCCAGAGCTGAGGACATCCTTTTTCTTTTAGTCTGGGAACTTCCACTCGGGCACCTTTGCTGTTTGCAGCTGTGCTGATATGGTCGGAAAGTGCCTTTTGTGTGAGGAGCAGCTCCCACCATCAGCCAGAACAGTCTGCAGTTTAGTAGAATAAGCACTTAGTATTTAAGCTGGCTCTTAAATGACAGCTGAATTGGGCAGTATATTTGTGCAATATTTAATGACTCTGAATGTGTACCACAAAGATGATTCTCATAAGCAGAACTGTAGCAAAAGCTGCAATTTAAATGACCAGAAACAACTTATTTACTTTAACTATTTTAGAATGGGTGAAGCAGTGTTACAAACATCATCATTCAGCTAAGGAAATGCAGTGCTTAACCCAAAGAGTTTTTTACTTCCTGTCAAAATTATCTTCTCTGGAGGACTAACATGATGGGGAAAGCAGGCCATCAGTCACAATGTTACAAGGTCCTTGTTTCAGGAATGTGCATGTTTCCTGTGCAAACTAGTCTTTACAGTTTGGAATCTGACTTCATGTCCATCTTCTCAGTGTGTAGGTACCCTGCTGAGATGTGTTTAACACATCCATAGGTAAACACTTCTCAAAGGTTAAGGCTGAGCTCCATGGCAGTTCTGCTCCTGGCAATATTAAAATATTTTATCAATGATTATATGACAAGTGGAGGCTTGTGGCCAATCCCAATGCAAAGCCAGCAACTGTCACATTATTTCCTAGAAGAGACTGCCCTGCTGAATCAGAGACTGACGGTATTACTGCCTCAATTATCCATTTCAATTAATGCAAATATAGGCAATAGTCCTAGAACAGCCAAGTAAGAACTGATCGCTGAATACACAGTCACAAAATATAAGGCTTGACAAAAGAAGTAAAAAATAAATTAGATTTAGTCTGTTTCACATATTCTTAAATCAGAGATAGGAAAAAAGGTGGGGTATTGCCTTTGCAATAATAATTATATTCTATAAAAATATTAGACAAATCACTTTAGAATTTTTATTCTTTGATGTTCTTCTGCAAGAAGTGGAGAAGTGTTTGATTCTGAGCAGCTACTGGAGTGCTCAGCACCATTTTACTGACACCTCTATCTTTTCTTAGTAAAAATGATGCTGACAGAATGCTAGGCTTGAACAGAATATGCAGTCTACTGTAACTGAACTAAAGGTAACAGAGGCAAATAAAAATTAAATTGCTTGCCTAAGATCATACAGGAAGTAATGGCAGATTTTGTGAGCCATGGGAACCTTCTGTGTTTTTCTACAAGACCTTGTCACTGATACAAACTTGTTGGTTTTTGACTTGAACTTTTCAATGCAGAGCAGGGACATTCCTTCAGTCTAGTCAATACCTCAGTGGCCATTCATTACAGAGATGGGTGTGGGTGCAGATAGGCATTCACCTTCCAGAAGGTTACATATTGCTATTCCCCATATTTCTGCAGTAAAAGGGAAAGAATTCTGTAGGTCATACTGGGTAAATAGATACTAAATTTTATCTTGCTACAATGAACTCTGTCTCTACCTAACAAATGTTAACTATAGGAAAAGTGCAACAGAACATATTTCTTCCATTTTCTATGTTAACAATGACATTTCTTTATTGAGCCAGCACCACAACTCCTTAAATTCTGTGAAATGCTTATGACTTCTATCTTTCATCATGAGTACAGATGAACAGAATTCTAAGATAACCCCAAAACTTCCAAGACATCTCAGGAAAATTAATTTAAGAGTGATTGCACAATGTTTTTTTACTAGAAGAGAGGGTAATCTTACCTGAAATCCATCAGTTACATTTATCTACCATCTGATGTTGTTAACATAGTTTTCTGACTGACCATTAACACTACTCAGCCCAAAGCCCCTAGCAATGAAAGAGGCCCAAAGGATGCTGGAGGAAGGGGTGGGAGGACGTAATGGATGGGATGTGAAAGGAACCACGGGAGAGAAGGCTGATTCAGGTGAAAGACAGTAGAGAAGTTTAATAGCCTGCGATGGAAAGAGGCATATCATGGCTAGAGACGGCAGATCTGCTCAGCAGGGGACCTGGGATGGAGGCCTGCTGTGTGTACCGAGATACAACCACTTGTAAAAGCTCTTTGAAAGATCTCACTTTCTTGTAACAGAAAAGCAGTGCTGATATGGAATGTCTGTCATTCACATACTTGCCAGCAAAAATAACAGTTTATGTTCAGGTCACAGTTTGAAGGTTAGCTATACAACCTTAAGAGCTAAGGTACTTTGTAAGTAAATAAACAAAAGTTCAACATAACTCAAAAACCAGTTCCTGTCTCACTGCTGAATTTTACATTTGGCGGTGCAAAAGCCTGTGTTCACACACACAGAGAACATCACCCACTGAATATGTTTATCAATGGATCCTTCTATGGTTCAGTTCCTTTTCTCACAACTAACATCTTTTTTTCCACCTCTGTTGACCCAGAGTTCATCAGCAGGTCAGTGCTAAGGAAAAAGGTAACAACCAGTATTGAAAGTGTAACCCTGTCTATTGCTTAGATTCTGGGAACTTTAACCTCCGTTTGGGAAGCGTGACTAATAAGATGGAACAAATATTCTCCCAAGAGATGTAAACCATGCGCCAACTTCAAAATACAAAAATGCTTGCATGTTTTTTCCTTTTTTTTAAAAAAAAAAAAAGAGAAAAAAAAGAGGAACTTTTTTTTAAGGTGACTGTATATGGAACATTACATAGTAGTTAAGCAAAGGCTGAAGTGCCAAGGCACAGTATGGAACGGTATTCTTCTGAACTCTGCTGCAGTTTAAAGGAACTGTTGAATGTTTTAGGGTTTTATCTTCTGAGCAATTATTGTTTCTGAAACACCTATTATGCAGTAACAGGATTAAAAAATACATTTCTTAGCATAGCAGGATAAATATTGAGCAAAATAATTATTGAAAAGAATCTTTAACTTACATTTTTTTTCCAAGCTTATAATTAAATCTCCAAGTGCTAATTCCACAAATGTCTAAATGAACTTTAAGTTCACCTGGGCAAGTGATGTTGTTCTCTGTTAACAACTCAATATTATTAATAATAACTGTTCATACATTGAAGCTTTCAGCACCATGATTTTATTGTAGTTAGCCAAAGTTGCCAAGTTTAAGATGGCATAGCAATAACATCTGTGGTGTTAATTGCTTCTTAATTTTAGTTTTGCTTTGTTCGATATTAATGTTAGAAGTTTGCAGATTTTGCTATTGTAACACTGAGACCCACCCAAATCACTGGATACTGAACTGCCCATGGTATTTTGTCTGTCTAGAGCACTGATTAATAATTTCTCATAGAGTGGTTTTACAAACTGGCAGGCTTGACAGAATGATGTTTGCAGTTACCATTTTGCCAACAGGCTTTAAACAAGATCAAAGCCTTGTTCTGATAGTTGACATGTAGATCACTGAGGATATTAAAATTTGAGCAAATAAAAACTGTAGGAAGAAAGAATGACTGTCCTTATTTTACAGATATGGAACTGAGATAGATAAAAATAATAGTTTATTGAAGGCTACATGATCTCCAAGAACCTGTGAATGAGTCCTTGTCCAGTTCTAGTAAAGAGAACATTATTCCTTTCCAGCAGAATCAGAGGGGTGGCTGTTCTCTGAGTCAACTAGAGCTCACCCTTCCTGCTGTAACTGTAATTGTGCTTTTCAGATATGGCAGCACTCTATTCCAAACTCAAATTGCTGCTTTAAAATTCTTTTGAGGCATGCAGCTGGGCATGTGATCGCTTGTTACCAATACTCGACATGGTCAGTTTAGTTTCTGTGGGTTGTGACTGTAGTACAACTGTAAAAGTCACAAGCCTTCAAACTGAGTTAAAAAAAATCTGTGTTTAAAAGCATGCTCTTTGAGTCTATGATAACTGGGAAACAGACAACATACCTTTTCACAAGCTAGAGAAAAACTCCTGTATCTTGTCCCAAATCACATTTCGAAACATGTTTTATTTATGCTTGACAGTGACTGCAGTGCTTTTGGGTGCTGTAAAAATAAAAGTACCCCTGGGAGACAGGTTCTTGGGGGTCAGTAGAACAATCTGCAGGGAGCACACTCATGTAGCACACTTACATGCACACTTTCCATGATACAGAGATAGAAAGCAGTTGCATAAGAAAGAAGAGGCGAGCCCTATGGAAACAGATGCCTCCAACCAGGGTACCACAGTCTTTTACCATAAGTATTTTACCTCCAGTTCTGTAAAGGGGGCAACTTTATGGGCACCTAGTTCCTCCCTAAACAAAGTGCTATCATACCATCTGGTACCATTTCTCCATAAGACTGCAAGAAGCCTTCAGATTTTTCTATATTAAAAATATTACAATGCACTAACAACAACTAGTAAAACGAGTTAAATATTGCAATGCCTTACTATACCTGGCATATTCTAATTGCTTGGTCCAGCACTGTCTTTGTATCGGTTGCATAATCTGGACAAGGCAGCATGGCATGACTGAAGTGGGCTTGCAGCAGAAGGTGTGTTTTTGTGTGTGAACTGTCAAACGAATGGGGGTTGACTTCAATTGGAAGATGTTTTGCCAGTTCACTGTTCATCTGATCTTCATTGTGTCTCACAGGCAGATCTGAGTACTCCTCAGCATTCTTTAAAAAAAAAAAAAAAGTAAAAAATTAGCCATTGTAATTAACTTCACAATAATTACTATTCCTTACTGAGACATTAAAAGTATATGCATTTAATTTACTACAGTTAGATTTCATTGTTAAAATAGCAGCATTTCAATGTTTAGAAAGGATATTAATTTGTCAAAATCATGTGCATGGGAACACAATAGCTAGTAAAATATTCACAATTAGTCACACAATTACAGGTTTAAAATTTTTTTTCACATAGCTGATTTTAACATTAGAGAAGAAGAAAATAAAAGCAATGAAATAAATACATTCATTGGATGGACTCAGTATTTGAGATGACCTTCTACAGGTATCCTACACTGGCTGGTTCACAAAAACATTGTAAGGTTAGCTACAAAGAAATAAATAATTCACCTTTTCAGTTTTCAGGGTTTCTACTTTTCTCTTTGTATTCAAAACACAGTGGGTTTGCAATAGCTCTGGTACGGTTCTTTTAAAATACATTTTCAATATTTTGAGCAGTCAGTGTCTAAGCAACAGATGATCAGTGATCAAAGCACAGAGCAAAATTGTAAGTAGGTGCTGAAAACTATCCTCTGTGCTCCAGAGTGGGACTAATACCATTCATGCCAAAATGAAAGCTGTCTAAGAACTTTCTCACTGTTGCAAAAAGGAGCTGCACACCAACAGGTAATCTAAATGTAGTTATGAGTATCCTTATGAGGGCTGAGAGGAATAAGTATGACTGTTCTAGTAGCCAGAGCAGAGATGTTCATTCTCCTACTAGGGAAACTCACTGTCTCCGAAAGAAAGAAAATTCAACAGAAGCATCTTAAGAACTATAATTTAGGCTGAAAAGTCAGTTCTGTGATTTAATTGGTAAATTTTTTTCCTCCACAAAATCCTCTTGTGCATGTATGCCTGCATATTCTTGTTTGGAATGAGAATGATCTTTCTAAAGTCTAAAACTTGCAAGTAAAGTAAAAGTTTTATAATATGTGATATCCTTTCAATCTGTAATTCAAGAGAGTGTATTTCTTTTGTCATAAAATAAAAAGTCATTTGGGTAGCCTGAAGGGCAATGTCTTCCAAACTATGGGCTTAGCAGAGACCATTAAATTAAAGTGTTCAGGGTTTTATATTCCTCTTAAACTATAGATTCAATATTATGCATTTTAGTCTTCAATCTCCAGTCAGACTTCCTGCAAATCCATATTAATGAAATATTCACAATGGTAATCAATGCAGAGTGAGGTAAAGAAAAATGGCAATTTTAGAACACCTACTAGAACTACTTAATTGACTTGCAAAGCACCGTTACATTAATATCCTAACACAAAGAACCTTTTTTTGACAATTCCTAAAAACAGTTATATAGCTGTTTTTCACCCCCTTGGAAACTGACAGCACAAAATTTTCTATTTTCTTTAATGGCACAATGAAACTACACTTCAACTGTGATATAAATGTAAAAGGAAAGATAGGTATAGACAATTTAAGATTGGGAAAGAAAATCAGAATGTCATTAATTTATTTCATATCTCAACTGCAGATTAGAAGTGAAGACTGACTACAGACAACTGCTGCTTAATCCTGGATGTCTCTGCTAGATCTATTGTGAAAACTGTGGTCATTTATTCTCTGAACCTAAGGTCACAATCTTTTTAAGCCCTATAGAAGGCTGCATGTTTGCTTCACTCTTTTTATTTAACTGGCTTCTCCTTCAAAGATATTTTAAAGAATATTTACCAAGGAGATTTTTTACTTAAGTTTTGCTTTGCAGTTTAAAGTAGCAGAAAGAAGAAGGATCAGCCAAGTCACTCCAGACCAATTGGTACTCCTGAAAATGCGTTTTCCCTAATTCTTCCCCTGCACATGTTTTATTTACCTCCAAAACACTCCTCTTATTTTAAACAACTTGCCTACTTAATTTCCTGTTTGTGATCATTGACTGTAAGTAAGTGAGGTTCATTTTCTTATCTGCATCATATAGGTAATTAAAGGAAATTGAGAATGGGTAGTGAAGCTTTTATACGACTGAGAATGAAGCTGAATGGAGGGCACTGAGGTCAGCAGAGTCCATTATATTTTTATGTGAGAGGCCAGTATGTCTGCCCTGTCCTTGTTTGCTTAGTGTAGGCTGGACAGACTACTAACTGCAAATCTGTTTCTCTGATTTGCCCAGCTGTCCTTGAATAAAGACATCTTCCATTGCAAAATGTTAAATGACAGTGATTGACAACTCTGTGATGAACTCTGCTTGTAACCCCCTGCTACTGTTTTCAGGTTGCACAAGAAAAGACAGAATAAAGAAACATCCTTTGTAATCACCTCAAATGGGCCCTGCTGTTCACTCAATATTTTTTCATTTCAGTTTTCCTTTTCATTGTGAATCTCAGTCTGTTCTGCAAAGGCTATAGCTTCAACTATTCCACAAAATATATAACATATATAATATTTTAGTACATTGTATCTGAGTACCGTGCTTACTTCCATGGGTGAGGAAACAGATCAAATTACGTATCAATCATTAATCTTTGTTCTAAAGTCAAGAAACTTAATACAGACTTCACAGTTAAACCACAAAGCACTGCTGTGCATTTTTCGCTTTCCCTTTTTCTTCTGTTAAATCAGTATTATTGCAGCCCATGTGTGAATGTTTACAAGCACCTACACAGTTAAACATAACTTGGATTACATCAGGAGATAACTAGGAATTTTAGCTATGGGTTCTCCAATCATGCGTTTGGTAGTCATGTCACATCCCACTTTTCTATACGTCTGTGATAGGCTTTCCCAATAATGCCTTCTTTTGGGCATTAGAGATTGCTGCACCATCTTGAGGGTGTAAGAATCCTCTGAAACCTACATTTCAGCCTGTATGCCCTGCAGGGTCATACAGGAGACACTAACTTGCTTTACCAGTGAGAAATGTCACATGTAGACCTGTATAAACTCGACAGTTACAATTTACAAGGCCAAAGGGCTATTCTGATAATTGAATTCTGTTTCCTGCATAACACCAGCCACAGAATCATCAGAAGAGTCCTATCTGCAACATCGTGTTCCAGATATGCAGCTTATCATCACCCTTTATTTGAATTGTTAGAATTGTTCTAAAAATAAACAAGTCATCTCATTTTAAAACATAACTTTTGCAGTTTCATGGTACTATGAGGCATTTGGGGAGTCAGACTGAACTAAAATTTAAATAAGGTATCCCACATGGCAAGCACTATGCTTTGCAGTCTCCATAGGGTTAAAAAAAAATTCGATTTTCTTTCTACCCACAAAACGTGTAAGTTTGGCTGA